TTTTTAGTAGGGTTAACAGCTGTCTAAATTATCAATCTGTCCAAAATACCAAAGTTTAAAATATCAATTTCAATTTTGTATAACGTGCATAGTATATGTAAAAATGATTGATCTAAGATATAAATATGTATTATTCGTATAAAATACTATTCATTATTATGATAGAAGAAATAAACTAGGAAAGTAACGTTGCAACATGTAACTTTGTGTTTACGGAGTAGCGTAGATCACTTTTAAACGACGTTTTAAATAACAAGAAGAGATCCTTGAAGTGCAAGTACCTTGATACCAATAGAAGCGCCGTTCGAGAGGATAATATTATGGTAATTGCAGGGGATACCGCCGTCGCGTTCCTGAATGTATTGTGCAACGTGTTGGCGAATACACTCAATGCCTCTGGTCTCCGGGTATGAGCCTACGCTGCCGCCATTGCAATTTTCCAGGATCATTCGGGCCCGATTTTTTACATCTTCCGGGTATCTCGGATCGTTGAGCAAATTTGGCGAAACTGTCAGGGTGAGCACCTGCCGCAGGAACGTGATAGGCTGCTGACCCATCGCGTGGGCGTCACCAGTGTTCAATTTGATCACCTCCTTGAAGGGTTTTTCAACGCCCTGCAAAGAGAAACGATATTAGGTACAATCATGATCTTCGTGTTTAATTTTAAAACTTTTCCAAACTTTGTGGAGACTATAAGCTACCCAGATATCATAAAGAGTTCAAAAAGAATTCAGTGATATGTCATCAATTTTGAATTCATTTTCAGATGCAAAAAGAATTCTTTTTCTGAAAAAAGTTGATGATTTAGAATTGATGACATATCACTGAATTCTTTTTGAACTCTTTTGAACTCTCTGTACTATCTGGGTACAGATAGTACAGATAAGTTATATATACGGGAATACAATACAATCTAATTTACATTTAATGAATACATTCTAATGAAAATAATCTATATGTCATTTGCACCGAAGTGGAACTGAATGGAGGGTTTAGGTGGAAACTAAACCAGTAGATGGAAAATAACGAGTTACTTTCCAACCTTGAATATAATATCTACTACATCGATACGCGTTATCTTACATTCACGCATTAATTGTTTGTTAATGTTAGGTAAATAATAGTTTGCGCACATTATGAATTGTTTTCACATTATTACTTGCGAACAAAGTAATTTGGTTACATGTTTATTTAAAATTAAACGTTTATACGCTGTATTCGAATTATTTTCATTTTAGTATTTGCGAAAGAAATAATTTGGTTAAATGTTTACTGAATAAATATTTATATGCTAATATAATTTGGATAATTTAGATTGCGATCATCTATTTTATTATTTACTTCTTTGTCTGTATTTTGTTTATATTTACTATATCTACCAAAACTTTTTTGCTATAGTATTTTAAGTCGTGAATTTTGGGACACCCTGTATATCATTTCTTTTTTTGCACATGTATTGAAGATGATTCAATTCTGCTTTAGAATGGCATACGGTCCTTGACAAATGACTCATTTTGGCTCATTTTATCTTTACTTTTTGTAGCTCTTTTTCAATCTCCAGTGCCCTGGTGAACAGCGGTCCGCGCACTGCGTACTCCATTTTGCGAAGGTTCACGAAGACATTGTTCTCAGTGAGAACCTTATCGCGCGGGTTTGACGTCGCTGTCATCGTCACTGCATTCGATGCCATG